ATGCAAAAGCAGCATTTATGAAAGGAGAAGTAGTCAGATACAGCTATTCTGAGTGCTTCTGATACTGTGACATTCTAGAAAGGGCATAGAAATGGTGTAAAAGACTAGAAATTGGCCTGGAAATGAATTTGTTGGAGACAAAGGGATGAAGAGGAGCAGTCAGGGATATGGACTTATTTCTTAACTCCAATGTGGTAATAGTACCCAATAGATGAAGGCATTTATCAAAACTCACTGAAGGAGCTGGGTTTTATTTCCCCTAAGTTGTGTTTCAGGAAAACATATTGTCTTGGTTAGGATTTCTGTCACTCTGATAAAATACCATGAGCAAAAGCAACTTGGGAAGGAAAATGTTCATTTCAGCTTACAACTCTCAGGGCAAGAACTCAAGGCACAGGTCATGAAGAAGTGCTTCTTACTGACTTGATCTCCATGACTAAGCCTGATTTCTTACGCCATTCAGAACCACCTGGCCAGGGGGTAGCACAACCCACAGTGAGCTGGGCCAATCATCAATCAAGAAAATGCCCTATGGACCAATTTTATGTAAGTTTTTTTTTTTTTCCCCAATTGAGGTTCCCTCTTTCAGATGACTCTAGCTTGTATCAAGTTAACAACAAACAAACTAGTCTGCACACACATTTTAGAAGTAGAGAATCTGACTCATTGAAATGCTTAGCTAGCAGTCATTGCAAGCAACTCTGAGGCCTGCAGGACTTAGTGGCCTTTACCCCTGCTCCTTGGTGAGCCTTGAGTGCTGTTTTACATACAGTCTGTGGCAGGGCATAGTTCTGCTGTACCATGGCCTACTGGTTTTCTAGGTTGCAAAGGTCAAATATAGACTTACTCCACTCTCCCCTTAGGCATCTGGACAAATTTGTCCTGCTTTGGACACCATTCAAAGCTAACAAGATTTTTAGTTTCCTTTATGACTGTGCCAGAATTGTATGTTCAAATATATATTATCCTACTTTCAAAATGGAAGGTGACAGGATGCTTGGTTTTTCTCTGAAGAGACAGACAAGATTTAGTAAATCCTCTGTGACTGTGAGAGGAATACTCCATTGCATCTCTTTGACCTTGTGAACTTTACTAGCAAGTGCATTGTTTCATAAGATTTGGTGCTGAGTTCTGCCAAGCACAGGCATTTAAGGCACTCCATTATGTCTCTTCTGCTTCTCTTATCTAATGCTTTGCTGTCATCTCTATGATGAGTGTGAGGTCTTTGCATATTCAGGATCTCTGTGGAGTGGAAGCTGCATGGATCAAGAATTCTCTAACTGAAGCAGGGCAGTAGAGGTGTTGCTGGTCTTGCCAAGTTAAACAACCTGTTAATTTTTGCTATCTCTGTTTTGTTGTGAAAGAAAAGCACTTGCTAGCTAGTGCAGCATATCAAATGCCAGGACTGTCTTAATTTTCTCAAGAAGGAACTTCCATATGGAGTGGCAACTGCAGTTGAAATCATCTTCTAATTAAGTTTATGATAATCTGTCATGGTTCTTCTTTCCTTTTTTATTTTAATTTTTGTCATGCATTTCAAATTTATTAGTTTTGCAGTGGCAAAACAAGTGAAATCATTTACTAAACATGTGATTCTCAAGTCTCTGCTCTCTTTTGGGATGCCTTGCTGAAGAAATGAAACTTGTTTGTAACTAACCCCTCCTAAATCAGTTTAGCCACTGCTGAGAAATCTGAAGTTTGAAATCTACCAGTTTTTGAAAGAACACATTCTAATAAGAAACTCAATGATTGGAAAATTAACACCAATGCAGTTCTTAGGTTTGTTTTAGACATTTATGTTTCTGGTGCTATTATATATGGGATTGCTTTAACATTTTACTTTTCAATTGTCCTTTGCATGTATGTAGAAATTGTTTTTTCCCTTGCTGATCTCGTATGCTGAGACCTTGTTGAATTTGTTTAGTATATTAAACCCTCTCTTCCCCGTCTTTCTCTTGTTTTGTTTTATGCCCCAATAGTTACCTGAAAGTACTGACAGTTTCATTTCTTTTCAGTTATTTCCTACCTTTTTTTATCCTGCCTTATTCCATTGGCTAGGAAGGACCTTCAGTGCATTGTTGAAGAGAAGTAGTGATAGCAGGTACCCTTGTGTCATTCCTGAGCTCAGAGGTAAAAGCCAAGATCTGAGCACTGAGTTCACCACTGCTGGGACAGTGACATTCTCAAACCTTAATGGAAAACCTTGAAATGTTTATTTCATGGCTATGTATATAAGCATATACACACAATACATTTATACTGTGTTAACTGAGTACATGTCTTAATTAATTTCAATTTCTGTGATAACATTCCCTGACCAAAACTAGCTTGGGGAGGAGAGGGTTTTTTTCATCTTATAAGTGGATGATGTAGTCCATCACCCAGAGAAGTTGGGCAAGAGCCTGGACACAGTTCCTGGACACAGACTGATGCAGGGGCCTGCTTTCTTGCTCAGCCTGCTTTCTTATAGCACCCAGGACCACCAGCAAGTATCTCTATGAGCTGGGCCCTCCCATATCAGTACTCAGTCAAGAAAATACACAACAAGCTTGCTCATAGACCAGTGTAATTGGGGCATTTTTCTCAATTGAAGATTTCTCCTCTGAAATGATTCCAGCTTATGTGAAGTTAACATAAAACTAGCCAGCACAGTGTCTATGCATTTCCTCTTTAATTCTTATTCATCATAAGAGTTGTCTCTAGCCTTTTCTCTTTCATATTCTAACTCCTTTCTCTTATATAGACCTGGCTACATGTACTGGGAGTTTTGCACTTTGATCATCAAGCTGTATACAGGCTTTCTCCTCTGGCCTCATGCATCTGTTTGCTTTACTTCCCACTTACAGATGGTCCTCAACATAAACTCTAAAAGACCCTCACCACCCACCCTACAGATACTTGTTTCCTTCTGCAGTTCAGCACCATGGTCAGGGCTCTTTCTCGGCTAAGCTCCTTGTGTGCACCACTGTGCTGGACACCCACCCCAAATCTTTTGCATCCTGTCATCTGTCAGTTCAGTGCACATGTTACCCTGCTCATGTGAATTCATGTAGGAATTGAAATCCTGGACTCTTTCATTCCTGACATTAATAGCTACATTACCAGTTTTTCTAACTAGTCTGTTCCAACAATTTATCAATTTCATTTCTGTTTTTAATGAATTATATCTTCATTTACTAAATCTTTAAGATACATGTTTTTCAATTTATTTTTTCTGTTTTTTATTTTTTTGTCCCTTCAATTTTCAGTTTTTGTTTTATTTTCTTGAAGTTTCCACACATCCTTGGATATGCACTTAGACCTGGGGAAATATAGGTATTATCTAATTTAATTCATTGGCAGGTAAAGTACAAGAAGGAAGAGAGTATTATTTAATGAGTTAAAGTATCTGTTGAGGCTGCATTTTCAGCTACATACAGGAAAAAGAAGCTGTCATGTTTACTTTGGTGTTTTGTCTTCCTTGGTCCTCAAAGTTGTGGGTGATATTTCTTATATTCACACTCTCCTGGTGCTTTTTTGATTGTTTGGTTTTGGGGGGGTTGTTTGTTTCTGCTGTTTTTGTTTTTTGCTTTTGCTTCTCCATCCTCAGATTTCATGCATGTCACTTGTCAGTCCCAAGTGGCTACTAAACCTCAAGCAAAAGGAAGAAAGAAGGAGGTGTCAATTGAGTGTTCCTGCTTTTATCAGGAAAACCAAAGCATGCCTGGCACCCAGGCTGAAACCTTCCATTTGAGGCCATTGGCAGGTGTGGCTGGGGCACAGCTTGGAGGACAGGGCTCCCCTGAGTGGACTGTGCCATGCACTTGTCTCAGTTTCTTGGCTACCACATGGCTATGGTTATTAATACATCCTCTCTAGCTTAGCTTCAACTGCATTGTTTTAATAACTTCTTAAAACTTATACTAGACTCAGTAGGTAAGGTACTTTATTTAAAAATAGGGCTTTTGATCAACTATGTAAATTCATAATTAAGGCATTAATAGTTTTCATTTGAATGGGGGCTTTTGTATTTTTTAATGAGGCCTATAATTTTTATATAGATTTTTAAGGAGCTGTATTGAACTGACCTCCATAGTATTTTATTTTAAACTACCTTTTTTCAGAGTCCCTTTTGTAGGAGCATTGTTTAACTTTAAAACTCAGCACTGAATTCTGGGTCTATCGACACAGTCTTGTCTACTTAAACTGTAAGCTGAGCCAGTATATCTAAAGTCTTATACAGTTTCATAGTTCTCCCTCCTCATTTATGTATATGATGACAGTGTATGTTTGTACCATAACATCTACACTAATATATTGTGGAGTGTTCAATAAACATATAGAAGATAGATAAGAATTAAAAGGGTTTAATTTCTTGGAAAGAAGATGGGAAAATGGCAATAATTTTAAAACAAAGATTATTTAAAATTTTATATTATATGTGAATCCCTTATCTCTCCTTCATCCCAACCATTCATAGATATTGAAGAATGAGACAGATTATTAAAAGATAATTTAAAAGAGGGGGAAATGTGGCTTCATGTCATTGCTGGAAGTGATAATTCCTGTTGGCATTCAGGGATATGGAAGACTGCAAGCAGGGACTGAGTATGGTACATTTAGGTTCTAAAACTAGTTAGATGTGGAAAAATGTTAAGCTGAATGCTGATTAAAATTTATCCCCATAACTGAGAAAGTAACAGAGTTTTTATGGCCTTTTAAGAGGTTTCTGGTTGTAAGGGAATTGATGAAATATACAGAGCACTAGGAACAGTTTAGATCAGATTTGTTTGTATGGCTCATAACAATAAATGATTTCTATTTTTCCTGATCTCACTGAGTAAGAGGAGAGTGGGGAGCTGGGTGATTTTATTTCTGTGCCTGGACTAAGGAAAGAGAAAACTCATTTAGGAACTTTAACAGTTATGCTGCTGAGATTTTACTTTACTTTTTAAAGTTATTTACAGTTACCATGAACTGACACTGGTTGGAAACAGTGACCACACTCTTTTCCTTGTCAGGAAACTGCATTCAGAGAATGAGAAGGACACCTCCATTGGATGAGCTCCAGCCACCACCTTACCAAGACGACAGTGGTTCTCCTCACCTCTCTTGCACACCCTCCGAAATTGGGGATGGGAAGTGTGAGATTTCCCACTGCAGCAACAGCCCACGGTGTTCTTTCAACAAATGCCCCAGTGAAGGAAGCACAGGGCACGAGGCAGAGAGCTTCCACAACAAAGGATATGAAGATGACGTCCCTAGTGACAGCACTGCAGTCCTCAGCCCAGAAGTAAGCAGAAGCATCCTGCTGGCTGCCAGTGAGAGTCCTTCTGGGTGACAGTAGGTCTTTACGGTGTCTCGGGCTTCTTGTACCAGTGCCAAGCCTTCATCTCACAAACCCATTGAGGCAGCCTGTATCCCACACCCTTCCCATAACAAAAAGACAGGATAAGGATGGTTGTTGTTTCTTAAATACTTTACACAGACTGTTCTAGAATGACTTACCTTTTTGCTCATATTTCATGCTTTTTATTGTTTTATTTTGGTTTTTTGTTATTTTTTATTTTATTTTTATTCAGTGTTTTACAAGCCTTTCAAGTTAATCTTACTGTATTTTCATTTCACAGAGGATGAAAGGAACAAATGCTGATTAGCTTTACTGGTGAAATTTCACAATTTCTTAAATTTAGTATGAGTGGCTGCTTTTGTTTGTTATTTTTCTAGAGTGAAAACAGCAACAAAATAATTGTTGTTTCAAAGCCTTTTTGTAGTCCAAACAGAATTTGTCTCATTCACTCTTAGGATGAAGACTAAGGTAACCCAGGCCTTATGTGCAGCAGTTTTCTGTAGGATTTGCTTTCTTTTACAAGTTTTACATTGCAAGCTTCTACAGATTTCACCCCTGCCAATGCTAACACTTTGACATGATCTGTGCTGATAGTTTTGTATCTGCTGTGTAATAATGAAGGTAGTTTTCTAATACACAGTATAATTGAGGTGTAGACGGAATTTCTTCAGTTTGGGGGTTTCTCCTATAATTAAAAAACACTGTGACTGCTTTTCTAATAGTTTTAGTATTTTCATATAGTATCTGGCCTAGAAAAAAATGTTGAATTGATACTTTAAGCATAATGTGCCATACCATCAGTTTCCTCGTGTGCTATCACCTAAACACATTTGAGAACTTGGTGTTTTGCAAACTGTATAAGGAGACACCAATTTAACAGTGACCCTGGATTAGAACAGTGACCACAATAGCTTGTGACACCTAGACAGCTTATTCATTGTTCACAGTCACTTCTTCAGGAAGTAAAATCGCTAGTGTCAGAGAGAAACAGACAGGTGGTGGTGGCACATGCCTTTAATCCCAGTGCTCAGGAGGCAGAGGCAGGTGGATCTCTGAATTCTAGACCAGCCTGGTCTACAAGAGCTAGTTCCAAAGAGAAACAGACAGCTGTGTTCCAACCCAGGTCGCTATGAGTGCAAAAAAGGCATTAGTGACAGACACCTCACTCTGTACATTCTTGTCATCCTGAGTTCTTGCTGGAAGATTTCTTTGTTGCAGTAGTGCCATCTGGACACACTACAAGGCAAACTGTCCTTAATCACCAAAGTAAAATGTTCAGATGACAACCAGATGCCTCTGTGTGTGTGTGTGTGTGTGTGTGTGTGTGTGTGTGTGTATGTGTGTTTCATATACAGATGCAAAGAAGAAATTAAGCAAATTAAGATAAGGTGGATTAACATACTTGGCATAGGATGTCAGAACAAATAGGTGGCAAGCCCACAGTGGCTTGTGTAGGCCTGTGAGTCTTTCTCACTATCTACTCATCAACAGTTCTGTTTATCACCTGATAGCAAGGACCAGCATTGAGAATTGAAAAGGGGCACCCACAGCCAGCAGTAAACTCTTGTCTATGGAGAGAGAAAGAGAAAAATATATCTGTCCACCACTGGAACTTGCCAATTAGAGAAACTTGCTGCCTGAAAAACAGGATTTTCCTTATATTTCATAAATAGAACCTATGGGTGATAAAAACCCTTGACTCACGGGCAACATGGCAAGGCATGAGCTTTTCATCTCTCTATGAGCATAGTATTTACTTATTCCATTACATATTCTTTGTAGTCCATGGATCTTTGGCATGCCTTCTGCCTGTGTCTCTCAAGATGCTTGTTTCTCTGTAGGTAACCACAACTGTGTATATTTCAGAAGTTATGTACTTGCTATGCTAACACTATGAAGTATCAGGGGCCCCTGTCCTGTTGTTTTCTGCTTAAAGACGAGCCTTCTACCCCAAGCTAACAGAGGGCTTAGAACATAGTGCTAAGTTGGCTGAAAAACTCAGAAGCTTGTTTCTCTTTCACTCAACTGAATAAGCAAGGCTGTGCATAATGGCCTCATCCAGGGCCAGCTTCTCATGTGAATCTACCATTGCCTAGAGCCCTGTGTGCCTGCTTGTGGAAAGAGAATGGAAAGCAAGCCCTTCCAATACAAGACTGAGATAGATGTTTCTCACAGGAACTCTGTGTGCCTCCATCTGCCCAAGCTGTACCATAAGGACATCCAAGAGAGTCTCTGGATTCCAGTGGCTTCTGGGTGGGGTGTCCTTTGAGCTAATAGGAGAAAGAAGACCAAGGTCAGCACTGATCAGTGCCACAGTAGATCTGAATCCAAGGTCATTTGTATCCTATTCAATACTTGAAGGGTCACAGTGTGTGCCTCAAAAGTCAGAGACCTGGTTTAGGTAACTAGATTCCCAGATATCTCATGTACTTAGACTAACAGGAATCCGAGATAGTTGCTGGTACAATGGTCTCAGTTTCTGATCATGTCATAAATAACATGCAGTTTTAGCCTTTCTTCATTTTGAAATGTGTATTTCACCATGTCATTGACAACTAATGTGGAAAAAATATAGTTGTTTTGAGTTCTGATTGGAAATTAAGATAAACATAGTCTATGATATGGAGAGTAACTATTTGGATGCAGTGTCTTGAGCCCTTTGCATTTTTATTCGGGTTTCTCATTTCTACTGACTTAAGTTATACTGTATATATTCTATTTTAGATGGAATCATCTTAGACATTCCTAGAAATGGAGCCACATTTCTCTGTAGCATTGAACTTTGCTCTTCTCTTCAGACTTCTCCATCAGGAGCAAAGACTATGACATTAATATGCACATTAAACTCTAGTTTATATAAATACACACCCAATTTTTCTCAAAACTGTAATGTTTTCATTGTGAAGTATTTTGCCACTTTAATTATACTGCCCCATAAGGTAACTTTGGCCTATAGTTGACTGATACTTAAGTTTTCCTCCATGACAGCAAATGAAAGTTGTTTTTATATCATACTTTAAAAGAAATTGGCATTTATTTGCATGCTAGATTAATGGGGTTTAAAAACTAAAAACATTTAAATTTGCTTTTCTCAGGACATGTCAGCTCAAGGATCCTCCTCACAGCTTCCTAAACCTTTTGATCCAGAGCCAGAAGCTAAATATGGCACACTGGATGTGACTTTTGACTATGACTCACAAAGACAGAAGCTTCTGGTAACGGTGACAGCTGTCACAGACATTCCAACATATAACAGGACAGGTGGCAACTCATGGCAGGTACACCTTGTTCTTCTACCTATAAAGAAACAGAGAGCCAAAACCAGCATCCAGAGAGGACCATGCCCCGTCTTCACAGAAACATTCAGATTTAACCACGTTGAATCGGAGATGATCGGAAACTATGCAGTTAGGTTTAGACTATATGGTGTCCATCGTATGAAGAAAGAAAAGATTGTGGGGGAAAAGATTTTTTATTTAACAAAGTTGAATCTTCAAGGGAAAATGTCGTTACCGGTGATACTGGAACCTTCTTACAATCCTTCTGTGAGTATCTCATTGAATGCCCTGGATACAGTTTCTGTTCATGGCACTTAATACATGCAACAGAAGAAGTCCATAAGCAACACCACTGCTTCCACACTGTGTCATTTGCATAGCAGCTGGACATATCTATCTAAGCCTTTCTGTTCTGTGTTGATCGTGATTTACTTACATCATGTGCTTTGTTTTCTCCTCCTAAGCTCGCAAGCAGGTCTTTGCATTCGTTCCTGTTGACCGCATTAAATGGTTGATTGTTCATTATCCAGACTCACTACAGAAGTTACCCTTTTCCTTCCAGGTTAAACTAGATGGCACAGGAGGAGCTGTCTGACCCATCTTACATAGAGTGCATAGAATTACTTTTCCAGAACCACCACAAATTATTTTAAAAGTAAAAAACAAGTCCTTGTTATACTTTTCATCCTTTTTGAGAAAAGACTGAAGTATTTCTCAGTGAAAAATTATGACCCCAAGCATTTTAATTTTTCTAGATTATAATCACACTACATATCTTTCTATTATATTTTTAACAAAATTCCCATGAGGCATTGCAGATTACAGGAGAGTAATGACTGCATTGTTTATTTAAACCAGGGAGATGCATTATGTCACATAGTTATTTCAGTATGAGAAAATCTGTGACTTGGGTAAGTGTAAATTATGACTTACATTTATTCCTTTCTGTGTTATACTGGAAAAGAAACATTTTATAATGTACATGTGCAGACTTTAGAATAGATTTAAGTTGTAAGTTAGAGGTCTAATGTTTCATGGTTGTTTCTAAGCTGTGACAATGTGAGCCTAAAGCCTGGGTCTAGCCCATTGCATCATAGCAGGCAGTATCTGAACCTGCCAGCTTCCATTCGCTATGCAGCCAGGCTACTTCAACCGAATTCTTACAGGATCTTTATAAGGAAAAATGATGGTAGGTATATCTTGTGGATTTCGGTTTTATTGATACAGTTAACACCTCATTTAAAATTTTTAGAATAAGGAATTTTGGGAAAATGCCTTTTAAAACATTTTTTTGTTCTTGAGAATTTCACACATGTGTACAAAAAAATATGATTATATTTCCCCAAATTCCTCCCATGTTTCCCTCAACATATCCCCATCCCCGCTACATATCTTTTTTTTTTTTTTTTTTAATGACCCACTAAGTCCACTTAGTGCTGCCTATATGTATGGATGTGGGGCCATCCACTGTAGCATGGGACTCCTACCAATAGCCACATCCTCAGAAAAAGATTGATTCTCCCTCTCCCTCCCAGCACCTGTCAACTGCCAATAGCTCCTCAGTAAGGGGTACGGCCTTGAGATACATGATCTACCCCATCTGTGATAGGATTTTGACAGCCACTGTGAATTTATGGATGCAGTTAGTCACATCCTGTCCAGAAAACCCTTTACAGCACTCTTCCCTACTATCTTCTGGCTCTCACACCACTTCCGCCTTCCCTTCAGTGCTGCTCCCTGAGCTTGGGGGATGGGGGCCATTGATATGGATGTCCTACATAGAGCTGAGAACTGTCTTATTCTCAGAACTTTGACCGATTGTGCTTTTCCCATTCACGCCTGCTCACTACAAAAAGAGGCTTCTTTAGCCAAGGTTTGAGTAGCCCGGGGCCTTTGTCCTCCCCAGCTGTGGGAGAAACCACGATCAAGGCTTACACCTTTCCACCCCCAGTATTCTGCCTCTCTATTTCCATGTCACCTCTAATCTACTATTTCCCTTTCTAGTTTCCTGCACTCTAAGTTATATACACAAAACAGAAGATGTGAAGCTGAACCCACATTTGAGAGAGAACACAGTGTTTGCCTTTCTTGGCATGAGTGCCCTCATGTAGTATAGTTTTCCATTTGCACCCATTTATCTGTATATTTAATTATTTCATGTTTTCTGTAGAGTTGAGTTGTATTCCTTTTGTGTAAATGCCTTTTTAAATGGGAGTGCTTTATAAGAGGAAAAAAGAAGGAGCATATTATGTTTTAGGGGTACATGTTTTTATAAGCTTGAAATATTCTACTATTATTAATCCAGTTTTTAAATTTTTTCACTAGTATGGATGAGTAGTATTTTTCTATGGATAATAGGCTTTTATACAAAAAATAATTCAGTTAAATTAGAAGAGAAAACCTGGCATCAAAAACTATGTGTTTGTAGTGCTTTGATGACTTCATCTGTTCCCAATTCTATATTAATTGTATTCCTCACCATAGACAATAGAACATTTTTATCTCTGCTCAAACTAAATGGCTCCTACATTGCACGCATTACTCTGTAGTCGTGGATTCTGTAATACGTTTGGCCAGACAATACAGGAAGTTCTAGGGGCTGCTTACAAGAAGGAGAAAGTGCTAGGTAAGTAGCTTCTAAAACATACTATTTACATCTGCAGAAAGGTATCTGTCTTCTGCTCTTAGAAATTTTCCCTAGATGCCAATGTGCCCATCATATTCAGTAGGTGAAACCCATTGCTCTTTAGCCTTTCTTTGCTCTTCTCACTCTTTCAAAATATTACAATTAGTCACATTACAGTTATTAGGCCAATTTATAACACTATTATACTGAATACAAAAATATAATATCAATAAAACTCATGTGTTTTCTGTATGTGCTGTAGTACTAATATTCTCTTTGCTTAACTTTTAAAGTAAGCTGGAGGATTCTTACTGTAATTTACTTGAGAGAGCTTCTCTTTGATTCTGTAAGGCAAGTGTATGAGGAACATTTGTAGGGGGGAGATTACTTCCATATTTAGTCATTCATTCTGGTAGCTTTCTAGTGATTGTGTATTGCTATTATTGCAAGAATATTAACCTTTCACCAAAAAAGTCTCAATCCAGCACCCAAATTTACAAATTACTTCAAAAATATGTTTAAAGTTTGCAGTTTATTTCGTATATAATGATATAATTCACATATAGTCTTTGGTTTCATAGTTTTTCAGGAATTTCTTGAGTCAGGACACACAAAATGACTTTTTAAGAACTCTGTGATGTTTTTTGCTACTGGGAAGATTAAAGCAGCATTGAAATGTGGCTGTGGCTTGAATGTGCCTCCTTGACAAGTGCACATAGAAAAATGTGTTGGAAGTTGAAAGATGTGAGTTCCATTTCAACCAGCTATGTAAGCTTTCTGGAGTATTTTGAGTATCAAGTTTCTGATAACTAAAATGAAAGGATTTAGACCAGTGACCTTTGGGCTGTGTGTGTCTCTGATACTCTGATTCTACTAACATTATGAAAGAAGTTAGATGAGAACAGAAATACAGATCTGTGTATTTAATTGTGTGTATTTGTGTGTGAGTGGGTAGGTGAGGTGGACGCATATGTGCCACAGTGCCACATGTGTGGTAGTCACAGGACGGTTTCCAGAACTTGATTCTCTCCTTTTGCCATGTGGGTCCTGGGGATCAAACTCAGGTCATCAGCCTTGGTGGCAAGTGTTTTTATCCAATAAACCAGAAATGGGATAGATTGTAAGTGTTTACACTATTGTTCTTTGCAGTGGGCATGTACTGTTTTCTAAAGCTTCCATACCTTTTTAACTCTCTAAAACCCGAGGGAGTCTACCTCCTTTAGACACTCTATAATACTTACTTTTCCCAGGCTTTTTTTGTGCTTAGAGCAAGGCATTGAGGTCTAGATTTACATTTGACATTGTTTTGCAATACAATATGAGCCAGAGAAGTACTGTGTGTAGCCCTGTGACAAAGAAAACAATTTAAATTTGCTCTGTCTTTTCCATGCAGTAGACACCAATGGAACTTGTAAAACTCTAGGAAAAATGTCTGTTGGAAAGTTATATTTAATTCTATTCCAGGTAAAGAATAATTGTGTTCATAAGAATAATGTAGATAATAAATTAGTCTTTACATTTCTTGTTTGTTTCAAGAAGATTTAAGTTCCTGAAGTCCTCCCATGTCTTTATTTCATACTTGAATCTATTGAAGGAAAATGCACAGGTGTAGGTCTGCATGTTTCCTCCAATTGAAAGGCTAGTCACCCTCACCTCCTTGTTAGCAGTCATGATGGGAGTGCCACCCATTCTGGGCACTTTGCAAGGTTGTAATGGTGCTGGATGTGACAAACAGTGAGTGTGGAACCTTTGTAGTGACTGTAAATAAGATTTGCTGTCCTGTGATTAAACAACATCCCTACTCAGTTTGAATAATTTTAACATTTTTTTTTTGCAAATTTTACAAAAAAAAAATTTGCAGAAAATATTATATGTAATATTTTCTGGTGTTGGTAACCATTGCAAATGTAATGATTATATTTTCTTTCTTAGGCCCAGAATTACCTGATATCATATAATCAAATATATAATTTTTAGAAAACTGGTTTCATTTTTCTATAGTTTGTTAACTTTGAAGGGTCAGTGTTACCTGTAAGTTAATGTTCCATTAACTTTGAAGGGTCATGTTATCTTTAAGTTAATGTCCCATGTCACTTGCTCATTTGGAGTTTTTTAGTAGATTTAGGCTTCTTTGTTTGTTGGTTGGTTCTGCTTTTGTTTTTTTGAGGCAGGATTTCTCTGTGTAGCCCTGGATGTCCTGGGACCAGCTCTTGTAGACTAGGCTGGCATCAAACTCACTGAGATCTGCCTGCCTCTGCCTCCCAAGGGCTGGGACTAAGGGCATGCACTACCACCACCTGGCTGATTTAGGCTTTTATAACATAAAAATTTATTCTCTTGGGATGTTCTCTTTTAAGCCTTATTTAAATACTAGGCTTTATAACCAGGCCTTTTCTAAATAACCCAGCTCTGACCTGTTATCACGGTCATGTGACTATCAGTGAACTTGAGATGGTTAACAACATGAAAAGTCTTGTTACAAATCAGACAAGTTGGCCAAAGCAAGAATGAAAGTAATAGCTTGTTTACTATGACAACATTTCCCCTTCCTTTATTTGTCATTGAAATGATAGTATCATGATTTACCAAAGATATTTTGAAAGGGAGATTTGCTACCAGGGTCTAAGGTTTAAAAAAAAAA